GCTGGAAATGTGGGCAGCCTGTTGAAAGTGGAAAAGGCAAGTAAACCAGTCCTCACTTATACTCTCCAGAGGGAATCAGTATTGTAGAAGCATTTTAGATTTCTGATATCTGAACCTGCAAGAGAAATATGTGTTGTGCTAAGCCACTAAGTCTGTGGCCATGTGTTAAAGCAGCAATAAAAGACTCACACACTACACTATTTCATTTTTGCTTGTTTATTATCTGTCTGATCATGCTGAAATGTGAATTTCCTGACATCAAAGATGCTGTTTATATTGTTCATTGCTGTATCTTCATCACAGAGGACATATTACAGTAAGCTGACATATTGTAAACACCAGTAATGATCTGTTGAATAAACCCATGAATCAATCCCAAATTCCTGTTAAATGTTTTAACACGATTACATTTTTATTATTTTAAAATCTGTACATTTTTTCCACAATTGACTCCAACTCTGGTTCTGCTTTTGCTTTGGAGGCATTGCGAAGTTAATTTCACTTTATTAAACACAAGAGTCACGGCCAAAATTCAACGGACTAAACGTAGCTTATATGTGCTGTCTGTGCACAGAAGAGTTCATTATATTGAACTCCAGAGACTTGCTTTGTCAGAGCCTATAAAAGTTTGTGAGATAAAACATGTTATGGGAAGAATTGGGACTGTGACAGTTACTTAAAATCTAATGTTTAAGAACAGAGAGCGTTCCTCTTTTTGAGTTGAGTTTGACCATACCTGCTCTTGTATGTGATCCACTTAATGGGTTTTTTTTCTGTACATTAATTCTCAGATTTAATTTATGTGATATAAATTCCAATTCATCTAATATAGTGTTTAAGTTGTGTTTTGTCTTGTGTACACTTTACAGTGCCCTGAATAACATCGAGGCATAAAAGATGTATCTTATGTATGTTTTACACATATAGTTCGATGGTGAAAAATATTACTTCAATTCAAATAAGTTTTAAAATATTCTTATTCAAGACAAATAGAAACTTAAAACTGCACCAAAAACCCCCTCACCTTTTCTGTAAATTTTCAAGATATCTGTGGGAATCCACTTAACTTTTATGCTGTATTTTTCAAGTTAAGCACATTGCTGGGGTGGTCTTGGATACTCTGTATATTGCTTGAACGGACGTGTTTATAAGTTTCACAGCATGAGAAAAGCAGTAAATTATGAAAGACATTTAACTTTTATATTAACTTAATTATTTTCTGGTTACTTGTCATCAAAAAATGTCTTCTGTGTTTATGTAAGAAATACTCTTTTAAAAGAAAATGGAATTTGTCTTTAATTTCATATTACAAATTAATAAAAGGGCAATATGATCTGACCCCATTGGTTTTCAGAGTATGGAAAGCTAAAGGACCTGAAGTTATTCTCCTAAGCTGTATACTACAATTTAAAAAAGGAAGAAATATCTAGATCATTATTACCTATGAGAAAAATCGGAAACTCTTCTATTGTAGCAGCAATGTTAAGCCCAAATAAAAATGCTCATTTTTACATGATATCCACTTCACTTAACATGCAATGGAGAAAATGTTATTTCTGTTTTTAGGCATCTTATCCATGAAAGCTATTTTAAAATAATAACACTAGCTGTGCATAACTCTTGTTCATGTATTTTTTTTATTGTTGCTCCTCCCAGGGTGCCTAATGAAACTTGGCATCAATGTACCCACTAACTTGTATTAATTCATATGGTCTACTTTGCCTCTTTCCTTCATTGTTCAGTTATTGGGGGAAAGGTTGCTGATTTGCATTCTTCATTTAAGGGACAGTGAATCTCAAAATCTAAATATTTCACCATCTGAAGTGCTTAGAGAATTTGGAGCCAAAAGGACCTGTCAGTGAAAGGAGTCATTTGTTTATGATTAGTTTTAGGAAATCAAGTGGCTTGTTTCATTAATTTATCCAAAATGCGTATATATATATATACATATTTAATATTAAGTATTCCACCCAAGAGCAGACTTCTAAAGATCAGTCCTTGTCTTTGGTAGCATGCATGGCTCTGCTTCCAAATTAATTAGCTACCATTGTTGTGTTTTCTACAATCATAAGGGAAAACATAGTCATTAGGTTTGCATGGTTCCTGGTGTCTACAAAACCTGTTAAAAAATTAGAATTTTTCAAGATCACTCTTTATTTGCAGATAAGAAGATAGCTTTCCCAGGACTATCCCTTCCTCTCCCTGACCTGACTCCATTACATCACATAGCTATACTCTGTTGCCAGTCCCTCTCCTCCAATCTTTTTTACAGAAAATCCTGGCCAGGTGCATATAAATAAAGCAGATGATGGATTGATAGATCTAATTGTCAAAGATCTGGTGCCTTATGAAAACATTCTTTCTTCAAGCCCTAACTTTCTAGAACTCAATGCTAGTCAACCCACAGGCATCTCAAGTCTGATTTACAGAAAACACCATGATTTGGCACTCAGCATATGAAAGGAATGCACTCTTGTAAAGAAAATGAAACTGTTTTATTCATTGTGTACCTGAAACAGGAACTCCTCCTTGTTGATAGTTTATATTAAAAATGAAAGAAAAATCTCCAGATATTGCAATAAATAATGTTTCCATGGCAGAAACTATGAAAGAACCAGCTTCAAAAACACCACATTCATTTGTTAAGCTTCAGAGATGCCCTGGGTAACTGTTTTCCTCAGTTAGCTTATAGAATATTTTAAAGAAAGTCAGAACTGTATACCATCCAGTAGGAGGCTGTTAGAGGAATTAAGAGTTTTGAAGGCAGGGAATATTCATTAGTCTGCTGTTGGAGAGGTTACAAGAGTCATGTTTTGCTTGGGAGGGAGGGTTTCTGATAGAATAAAGGGTAATGATTTACTGCCCATTGCAAATCCTCCTGCTTCTCTTCAGAAACAAAATAAGCAAATAGGTTATTCTGGGAGAGTTGAGAGAGGGACAGAGGTGGGTGAAGAAAAGATGTGTTAAAGGCAGAATAGTTCTGCCAGAAAATTACTCGGGTCTTAGGAATTAATTGCCTCTCTATATAATGGAGAAGAAAGTATTGCTTTGTGGTTATTATAGGACACCCCTACTGACGTTATCGACCATTGTCATATACTGCATGAAAGGAGCTTTTCTCCCAAGCAAAGTGTGATGCCTCTTGTGAATGACTGTGTAAAAGGTTTAGTGATGAATGCAGGTGTTGCAGAACATTTTTGGCATGAAACACTAATTAGTAGTCGCTAATTAAATAAGGGTGGTGGGTAATTTCTGAACATTCCCACTAATTATATAGCTAATCTCACATCAAATCCCTCTGAACTTTAAAGAAGATTGCATTTGTGGGATGTGTCTTAAGTGTACAACCTTGTGGTTGTAATGTTGCCTCTAACTGTAGCTGCAGGAGATAGTGAGTCCTGATTCAAGCTTGGAATTTGTTGTAATTTTAGAACAAAAAGCTTTCCTGCAGCTTTCTTTTGAATCAGACCATTCACTTCTGAATGAGTGCATTTTTCCTGCATGTGTTCAGGAAAGAGCATGGAAGGAAAACCAGTTTGCTCTATTGGTACGCAGCTACATTCTTTACCTGTTTTGTTTTAAAATGTAGAAGTCAGCACTCAGTAGCTTCTTGGAATGCTATCAGCTTGGATTAGAAATGTGCTTTGAAGAAGTTGATTGTGATTGATGTTATTTTAGGGCTTAAAGCAGCCTGTCTTTAGAAATCATGACTACAGATCACAATGAAGATGTAGTGAGCATTCATTATCATGAGTGAAAAACATGATTCTTGGGAAAAAATGATGCAGAAGGGGCAAATATCATAGCTGACATTTGGGGGAGGCTCAAATAAGATCGTGAAAATGCTAAAAGCATTGAAAGATTTTTTTTTGTTTCTTTTGCTAATTCTTTTTCTCCTTCTCCTTCCTCCTCCTCCTCTTCCTTCTCAACCTTCTCTTCTTCTTCTCCTCTCCTTCTCCTTCTCCTTCTTTCAAAGTGTATTTAGCAGAGATTTGGACATAAAGTTGGATTAACATTTGTGCAATGAAGTAAACTTACAGAATGCTTTAGAAAATATTCATAGTTTTAAATCTGAATGGAAGAGTGTATATCTTCCTTCAAAAGGTCTCCAAAACATTATAAGAAAGTAGGTCTTTGAGGTCAAGTTATTTTGCAGTGTGGAAAAAACAAATCATGAGTTAGATTAACTGATCATTTTGCTGCAATAAATACCAGAATTACCTTTTTGCAACTTCTAATGAAGAATTAAAATTTGGTGGCTTGAGTACAATCTAAATTCTCAATGTACAGAATTATTTTTCTTTTTAAAGTAATATTTTCATAATATTCATAATATTTTGAGGATATTTGGGAAAATTTGAATATGCATTGGCTTTTGGCTAAGGTTAATAATTATAATTGTTTTGCTTAAGTAATATTTTTGCTATATAGAAAAATAGAGGTTTATACTAAAACATTTAAGAGTGGGCTATTGTGATATCTGTAATTTGTTTGCATACTTAAACACTAAAAGGAGATAAAATATTAACAACGAATTCAATGGGAAAAACTGACCTACACTGCTTTTGTATAAATGCACATACACAGTCCCCACAGGCATACCCTCACCCCCACACTTACATTTTTTTCATAAAACTTTTCTTGTAGAAACTTTTCATTTCTTGCACAGAAATGATACCTTGAATATAGTAAAATGTATACAATCTTCTGTAATTGCTTCATGCTATAAATATTTTAGATGAATTTTGCCTTCTGTATTAGCCACATATATACCCATAAATGACACATTGTATCATAATGTCAACCCAAACAATAACCATTATTTATATCATTCTCTCTGTCACCAAAATTTTTCTTCAGTATGTCCTCTAACTTATGGGGTGAAGGTTGGACTGGGAGAGACCAAACAAAGTCAACCCTGAGATAACTTTTCAAACCGTAGAGATGATTATGCATTTTTTTATCGGTGACAACCAACCATCTCTTGTGTTCTTTCATAGGGTTTTTAAGTACCGGTGACCAGGCAGCGAAAGGCAATTATGGGCTCCTGGATCAAATCCAAGCACTGCGGTGGATTGAGGAGAATGTCGGAGCCTTTGGTGGTGATCCCAAGCGAGTGACTATCTTTGGTTCTGGAGCCGGGGCCTCCTGTGTCAGCCTATTGACATTATCCCACTACTCAGAAGGTAATGAAAGCATTCTGGGGTGGGCAGGTAGATCCATTGAATCAAGAAATGAGCATTCACAGAGTTCATATTCAGTTGCATGGCCGGGTGGCTAGAAGTCTCTCTGGAAACTTCATCCGAAAATCCCCAAGAGGACATATATTCATCTTCTTTTAACTCAAATTTCTTTTCATGTTAACATTTTAATTTCTGTTTGTTTGTATGTTTTGGGGATGAGATTTTGCTCTGTCGCCCAGGCTGGAGTGTGGCAGCAAAACCACAGCTCACTGTAGCCTTAAAATCCTGGGCTCAAGTTATCCTCTTGCCTCAGCCTCCTGATTAACTGTGTCTACAGGCATGTACTTCCATGCCTAGCTAAATTTTTTTGGTAGAGATGAGATCTCACTATGTTGCCAAGGCTTGTCTGGAATTCCCGGCCTCAAGCTATCCTCCCACCTTGGCCTCTAAAAGTGCTTGGATTACAGGCGTGAGCTAATGCGCCCAGCAAACAATTTTTTTTTCCTAATTTAAAGGTAGGACAATTAGATAACTTCTTTAGAAACTCCATCACTGTGTTTCTTTTGCCATTTTGACTTTATTCGAGCCACTTGAAGTTTTAACTTCTTGTTTAAACTTGGTAAGTGTAATATGAAAAGAGAATAGCATGTTGATAAAGGATGTAGATGTATAGACTTCATAATCAACACGACTTTTAATCACATGTTTTTTTTTAAAGTCACTTCTCTAATTCATGTTAATTATTTAATTCTTCTGGAAATATTAAGAACATGTCTGGAGCATTTATGTAGAAGTGGATGCTATCTAGAGGAGTAGTCTCTCCTTCCCTTTCCTTCTTTCTCTCTTTTCCCTCTCCTTCTTCCTCTCCCTCTCTCTTTCTCTCTCCTTCTTTCTCTTCTTTCCCTCTCCCTCTCTCCGACAAACATAATTTTCAGCAAGGGACCCATCTAGAAGCTAGATGTGTAAGGGATTGAGGTGCTTACTGGGTGGGTTCAGCTTCAAGAGCTTGGAAGTGTGCACAGGTTGCTGTTCCTATGCCTGACTTCATGGGAACTCCACACCCTCCCTGGGGCTCCACTAATAGCCTGGGAAAACTGTTCCTGGCAAAGCAGAAGGAGTGGGAACTGAAAAAACACATGCAAATCACGATGACTCAACCAGATGTGCACTTGGCAGTAGAATTCAGCATACCCAATGTACCCCAAAGCTTCACAGGAAAGCCTGAGGTTTTCCCCAGAGGCTTATTCAATGGGATTTCCAGCTATCGGTGATGGAGGCTCCAAGCAGTGTCAGATGAGAAATTTAAAAGAGTAATTCATAGGAATTAGACACAATAGGTTCTGGAGGAAGGAGATTAATTTCTTGGCTGTGGCCTCAAAGGAAGAAGCAAAGAAATCTGCAAAGCGGACCCAGCCCTGGGGTACCTGGCGAGGTGCAAATGAATATTCATAATAACCATCTCAATTATCAAGATAGTGCTATATTTTGTTCTGTGTCATCAGTTGGCTTAAAAATTGCATCATACTTATTTGAACTGTTTACATCAGAAGTACTCACAACCTCAATGGAATTATTATTTTTATAGTTATCTGAGTATCTTTCTTTAAAGTAATCACAAAATTCATAAATATATTTTTAAGGAGATGTAATTATGTTATATGATGGCATTGCCTTCCTTCACTTTTTGTGCCATTGTGGACAAGTTACTGAATTTTTATGCACCTCAATGTCTTCATTAGCAAGATATGATTGATGAAAATAAGTCCTCTGAAAGCTGAATTCCTTGATTCTTTATTTCATATTTTGCCTGTGAAACAAAGAGGCCCTCAACATCTTATTGCTGATAATCAGAAGTAGGATGAAAAGCTCATATTAGTATTCATTTTATTTTTTAAAATGAAAAGTGAATAATTGAAGTAATCATTTATTTTACATATTCTTATGGCATTTAAAAAATACCTAGATTTTCATTTTTCTTAATTGATATAATCACAGTTCTGGGTTTAGAAAGCAGTCAGAACCAACTTCAGAAATAATAAAACACATGTGAGCCACACTAATTGGAGAAAGAGTGTTAATTGTTTAAATCAACAAATGAAAGTGATTATTCACTACAACAACATCTTTGCACCGGTCATTTCTACAAGGCAGTGCTTCTAAACAACCCATCAGTGTAATCAAGAATTATGAAAAATACCCAGGTTGTTTACCTCAGGAATCCTTGTATAGCTATCTAGTTTAATGAAATTAAAGTGCACATGGAAAAATCTATTTTTATCAATACATTCATTCCAGTAGTATTATCATAGCAAAGAATGAAAGAAGAGCAAAAAGATCAAAAGGATAGGAAAGTTATAAGGAACAATAGGCATTTAGTGACAAGAGGAATATTTTAAGAATTGTAAATAAGATATACAACAGCTTGAAGAGCACAGTGTAGACAGATATGCATATGCTGAGCAAAGTTAAGCAAAACAGACCTTTAAATAGAGGAAAAAGAGCCATGAAGGAGTTAACTTGTGTTTTAAAATACGAATTGCAGGTGATTTTTGAAGCATATTTTTTGTATGTATTATTAAGAGTTATACTACTTCCCTAACATACAAATATGTGTTTTATATATGACACTTCTATGTACACTGCTACTAAAACATTAAAAATTATTGCCAGTAGTTGTGAGAAGAAAAAAAAAAAAAACTTCCAGCAGAATTTTTCAAATTCTGAATTTTTCAAATTCTGAATTTTTCACTTAAAGTTTTGGACAGATCAAATATTGACATTGATTTTTGTTGGAGGGGGGGTACTTTAAAACCATTTTCAGAGCCAAACGCTCAAGTCAATACTTGCACATTTCTACAAGAATGTTCCCAAAATGGCTTTGATAATACATTGAGCAAAGTCAGATTGGTTTAAAGTCTAGGTTTTGTGTGTCATCTCTGGGCAATCCTCCAATCTTTAAAATCGCATCTTCCTGATTACAATCATATTTTCCTCATATTTGATTGCTTACATGACCCTAAAAATCGACAGAACATGAACTTCTGGACTCGCAGCTGAATGCTTTATTCTTCAGTGCCAGAGTCAGGCTGGAATTCACGGAAATGGCAGGAAGAGATCGTAAATAGAATGATGTGATTTTTTACAGCCCACCAACTCTAGTCCTGTCCTGGTTAAAAATAGAGATTTTATACTTCTGGATATCCATGTAGTAGATCAATGGAGAATTTTAAACTATGCAGAATTCTACTTCTAAAATTGCCCAAGCTTTTTCAAGTTTCTCACCGAACAGAGCATTTTTTTTTTTTTTAATGTGGGAAAAAACTGTACACAACTCTGGGTTTCCAACAGATGTAGTTTTGAAGTTAGTGACTTTTTAAAATATTTGTTAGTTGGTTACCCAAGTGAGGATTCTTTAGGCATAGCTAATTCCATTAATATATTATAATTACAAAATCTTTATAGCTTCATTAGACTGAGGGTAGAAATATAAATGCATTTCTGAATTAGCACTCTGAAATTGATTCACTTGGATTTTTCTTTCTCTTTATGAAGGGGTAGCTGGTTTTAACCTCTTGCCTAGTGCAAGGCATGCTTTTTGTTTGTTTGTTTTGTCAAGATTGGAGAATGCAATTGCTCTTAGAGTTTTTATGGATCTGGAGGCAAGGAAACAAAAACTACACTAAATTGTGGCAAGAAGACGAAATTGCATATTTCTTTTACTGCTTTAGGAAAAGTGTACATGTGGTTTTATTTCCTTAAACTCGTGTGTGTGTGTGTGTGTGTGTGTGTGTGTGTGTGTGTGTGTGTGTGTGTGTGTGTGTGTATCTGTAGAATACCATCCCATAAAATGAATGTTCGGGGGAAGGAGAGAAGAGGGAAATGAAATTGAAATGGGTGAAAGCGACCCTGACAGAGTTGAATGCTACTATATCCAGAAATTCACATGCCTGAAAGACAATCAAAGCCTTCATTGCTCAGTAAAAGCTGCATTTCTGTTCTACGGGTTTTCATTTGCATGTTCACAATTTTGCACCTGCAGGTCTCTTCCAGAAGGCCATCATCCAGAGTGGCACCGCCCTGTCCAGCTGGGCGGTGAACTACCAGCCTGCCAAGTACACTCGGATATTGGCAGACAAGGTCGGCTGCAACATGCTGGACACCACAGACATGGTGGAATGCCTGCGGAATAAGAACTACAAAGAGCTCATCCAGCAGACCATCACTCCAGCCACCTACCACATTGCCTTTGGCCCTGTGATCGATGGGGATGTCATCCCTGATGACCCTCAGATCCTGATGGAGCAAGGCGAGTTCCTGAATTATGACATCATGCTGGGCGTCAACCAAGGGGAAGGCCTGAAGTTTGTGGACGGTATCGTGGACAATGAAGATGGTGTGACGCCCAATGACTTTGATTTCTCCGTGTCCAACTTTGTGGACAACCTTTACGGCTATCCAGAAGGGAAAGACACCCTGAGAGAGACCATTAAGTTCATGTACACAGACTGGGCAGATAAAGAAAACCCAGAAACGCGACGGAAAACTTTGGTAGCTCTCTTTACCGACCACCAGTGGGTGGCCCCCGCTGTGGCCACGGCTGACTTACATGCCCAGTATGGCTCTCCCACCTATTTCTATGCGTTTTATCATCACTGCCAAAGTGAAATGAAGCCCAGCTGGGCAGACTCGGCCCATGGCGATGAAGTCCCCTATGTTTTCGGCATCCCCATGATCGGTCCTACTGAGCTCTTCAGTTGTAACTTCTCCAAGAACGATGTGATGCTCAGCGCGGTGGTCATGACCTACTGGACAAATTTCGCCAAAACTGGGTATGTTCGTCTTTAAGTCTGAAAAAGGCCCTCCTCCTAGCTTGTTGGTTCCTCAGTATAAGTGTTGCTGCTACTGACCTGTACAGGGGCTCACACTCATATACACACAGCAACAAATCAGTCATGTTTTCCTCCAACATCTATGGAAACTCTTTTTTTTTTTTTTTTTTTTTTTTTTGAGATAGGGTCTCTCTCTGTCATCCAGGATGGAGTGTAGTGGTGTGGTCATAGCTCATTGTAGCCTCAAACTTCTGTGCTCATAGGCTTCATCCACTTCAGTCTCTCGAGTACCTGAGACTACAAGCACACACTGCTACTTAAAAATTTTTTTGTGTGTGAAGTGTGGAGATTTCACTATGTTGCCCAGGCTGGTCTTGAACTCAGTGCTACAAGTGATCCTCTCCCCTCCAAATTTGCTTTAATGACAGGTGTTAATCACTGTGTCCCACCATTTTTATCTCTACTCTGGATGCATTTTATGCCAAACTAGGTTTTTACTAGAGTACTAGTTGCACGTTGGAAATTCTATAGTTTCTACCTACTGGTGCAGCATCTACACATATTTGATTATTTTGATGAAAGTTGATCACAGAGTTTCAAGTCGAATTTTGACCATCTCTTGTTTGTTAAATACTAAGGTTATCAACGTGTATGTACCATCTGGGGAACTGTGCTTACTGCGTAGCCATAGGAATGAAAAAAAAATCTCATAATAATTATATAAAATGGATATATTCCTATAGATTTAATATGTAGAGAAAGATGTAAATTCCTATATGTGTAATATGTTCCTGTATGTGTAAAGAAGCTCATTCATTGATCTAAATATAGTGGAAAATAAAAATATATACAAAAAGCACACATATAACACGGTTTACCAATATTCTATTGAACAAATGAGAGCAAAGACCCCAGAACATCTGAAATTAGTACAAACATCTTGCCATCTTTTCATTTTCTCTAGTCTAATAGCATAAGTGAGGAAATTAATGAGGTTTCACTCTGTTCTACCTGCATGTGCTGCTATCGTTAACCCTGAGTCTCTTGTGCAGAATTAAAATTGAAGATGCTGTTGGTGCAGAGGGATGGTAAATCTTCCCAAACAGCAATGAATGTCAGTGTGAGGCCTCCACATGGCAGCAGCTCTGCAGTGCATGAGCTTAGTGCAATACTATCAAGAGGATATGGGAGACCAAATCTTCCAGTACTGAGGGCTTTAGCCTGTATTATTGTTTACAAGGATTCCAATTTTTTTGGGGGGGGCAGGGAGTGGCTTAAGAATGTTTTGTGCTCTAAGCAAAAGTATGACATGTTTATGGAGTGGAAAATGGATTGTAAGGATACCGACATTCAGCAGACAGACTTTGTCAATCAGATCTAAGAAAGGCTACCATGAAAGCAGTGGGAAGGGAGGAGGAATCAGCATTTGATGGTGACACTTGTCTATTACCAAAACACTCTTTCCTGCACAAGGAAATGCTTGAAATCAAATTAACAAGCATTTTAAGTAAGCCTTATTTATTAGTTTCCTAGGGCTACTGCAACACGTATCAAAAACTATGTTACTTAAAACAGAAATTTATCATCTCGCAGTTCCGAAGACTAGAAGTTCCAAACAAAGGTGTTGGCAGGGCCAAGTTCCCTCTAAAACTTATAGGAGAATATTTTCTTTCTCCTTCCTAGCTACTGGCTGTGTCCTGCAGTCTTTGGCAATCCTTGTCTTGCGGCTGCATCACTTCCATCTCTGCCTCTATTATCATATGGCTTCCCTGTCTGTTTCTGTTGCCACATGGTCATCTTTTTATCAGGACATCTGCCATATTGGATTAGGAGCCAACCCTACTTCAGTGTGACCTCATCTTAACTTAATTAATTATATCTGCAGTGACCCTATTTTCAAATAAGATCAAATTCTGGGGTCCTGGGTTTGGTACTTCAGCCTATCTTAATTTGAGGGAGACAATTTAATCCATAACATCTTGTGGAGGCAGGACCATGCTGAGTTTTGTCATAGCACTAAAATAGGCAGTGTTTTCCCTTGCAGAGATTGTCATTCTCTTGATGCATGGTGACTTCCATGAGGATTTCTCAAACCACAGCCATACCCATTCAATCTCCACTCCATCAACATCCAAATATATTACTATCTTCATGTCTAACCACACTCTCTTTACTTACTTAAATTAAAATCACATATCTTTTTCCCCTTACATATTTTGAAAATAAATTTTATATGATTTTCTTATGTGGAAAGCTAGAAGCATTCATCATACATCTTAAGGAATTATAAAAATATTAGTGAAATCTAAATGCAATTAAATTCTCTTTAGATCTTCTAGACTGCCAAAGGCTATGAGGTTGAGGCTGGCTTTCTTATTATTAAGAAAAGAAAGAAAAAAAGATGAAGGAAATTAATTAGTTCCATGAGATGATAAAGAACTGCGAGCAGCAAAAGGATACTTCTACCAAGGCATCACCAAGGTCTGAGAGAACATCTCTCTACTGAGAGATTACAGAGTGTTTTTTTAAACGCCATAATTCTGTTTCCTAAAATCACTTTTTATAAAACTTATGGTTCACTCTTCACATTTCAGGAACACAAATGTGGGGATGGAATATTTCCTGTAAGATAGGGATCAATAACTGTTCAGATATGTTCATGTTACCATTATTGGTCTGTGTTTAGGGTGTGAGTTTAGGATGCTTTCAGCTTTCATAAAATCCCTAAAGTATGTGAAATATATGGGGAAGGAACAAGTACTTGAACTTGGGAAGACAGCCCTAATTCTACTGCAGTCAAAAACTTCAGGTAGAGCTTTCATTGGTAACTAGAGCCCTGCATGTCAGTCTGAAGCCTCTGGACTTTTTCCAAACAGGAGCTATTTTTGTTTCTCCAGTCCCCATGAAGCATCCCAGAAATAACACTTCGACATCTGAGTTTTCTCAATTCATTCAAAAGGTCATCAGCATGACTCAAATGATTCTTCAAATAAGTTACTAAGAAAAAAAAGAAGTTACTCAGAACTTAACATCTCATAGGAAAGGCAAAGTGCAATTTCAAATATAGTTTATGTGATCACATTTCAGTAGCAGCTGATTTAACAAAAAACATATTTTGCCATAGTACAGCCTAGTGATCTAGGTCTTTGTCAGTGGATGACAAGGGCTTAAAGAGTAGCTGCTAATTATTTGTTTATTTTAAATTGGGTAGTGGCCTGATCAGTTCATTGCAGAGAAGGATTCCTTGGTCACCAGGAATATGTTTCTATGGGCCAACTGAGGAGAATGAACAAAACGGTGGCAGTATGAAAAGGCATCGGGTAAACCACATCTGTTATCCTTGTGGGAGCTGCCAAGTTAAACTCTGTTCTGCAGAGCACACACTCAGAGGTGACACAGAAAAGGAGGGGATATTTCATTCCAACATTGGAAAGGCAGGGGAACATGAAGTTAACTAGAATAGCTTGCAGCATGTGTATCACTACACATTGCAGGAAGAGAATTACAGTGCACCAGAGCATGCTTCACCATTCTCATTTGGTGGAACTTCAAGCTTTCTACACCAGCAGACAACAACACAGTGTCTCTGTAATTCATATATTTGCTCAGATGAAGTCGTTTGTACATTAGCGTTTCTTAAGTCATCTGAAAGCAAAGAGTTCTGATCTATAGTCTAGGTTTGAAGGTATGCCAATTTTTTACTTTTTGATGAGAACAGAAAAATTATGTTGGGAGTATACAAGCAGAGGAAAGAAAGGAAGGAAGGAAAGAAAGAGGGAGAGATGGTTGGAAAGAGGGAAGGAGGGATAGAAAGAAGAAAGAGAAGGAAAGAAAGAGAGGAAAATGAGAAAAGGGAGGAGGAAAAGAAGGAAGGAAAGAGGGAAGGGGGAGAGAGAGGGAGGGAAGGAGGAAATAGGAAAGGAAGGAGGGAGGGAGGAAGGGAAAAAGAAAATGAAAAAATGGAAGAAAGAACAGAAAGAAAGGAAGAAGGAAGAAAAGAGTAAGAAAGAAGGAAGGAAAGAAAGAGAACTAAAGAGAAAGAGAAGTGAAGAAAGGAGAGAGGTAGAAGGAAGAAGGAAAGGAAGGGAGGGAGAAGAGACAGACAGAGATAGAGAGAAATAATGAACTGGATACTTGCAAATCACCATATTACTATGTTTTCCCAATAGCATGAGGTGAGAGGGCTCTCCTGTCTTAGAAAGGCAGAGTCAGCAAGCATGCATGGGAGAAGTGAGCAAGAGGTTCCTGGTGAGCTTCTAAATCTTGGTAACTGATTAAGACATGATAATGACAATTGATGAATGACAAGGTCTCAAGTAGTCCTTGCTATTTCTCTCTTCTTATTTCAGATAGGAAAGTATGTCCTATTGCAAATAGATGCTCAAACCTATACCTGAGTGGGATTCCCTTATAAGGCAGAACATAAAGCAGCACTATAGAAATGAGGCCGATTTGGAGAGATTTTGTAAATGAAAGACAATGTCAAAGGACAGTGAAAACTATATCCAAGGTCTGAAAAAGTTAAAGAGAATTAAAATATTTTTCCTATAAGTTTTTGCGGGGAATTGGAGAAAAGGAGTTTTTCCTCACTGGTCAATAAAACTCAAGTGCTCATTAATGAAAGACATCTTCCATTTGAGTTCTGTGTGGAAAAGGGTGAATAAAAAAGAAAATGGGAGAAATTGGGTTTCCATAAAGCTATGACAAAGAACATGCTTTAAGCCATCCAGTGATGCATTATATATCGAAGACCCTTATGTGCTACTGAAATTCAGAGATGAGAAGACAGTTCTGTAATGGCAAATAAAATCAACACGTTTGTTTTTTTGACTTTGTTCCCCCAAGTTTGGTGTTGGTATGGTTCAACGGTTTATAGTTTTTTGTTTGTTTTAGATGCCATCATCTCTTCATTTGAATTTGCTGGTAGCCTGTGATTAACTTATATTCAGTCACTGTTAAATACTAAAAAAAAAAAAAAAAATCTAGAATTAGGCTTTTAGGGAGGATGGGTTAGAGAGAGTTGCAATGTAATACTTGGTTTGAAAGTGGTCTTAATTGTCAAAAGATATTTTAATTTTAAGCTGAGTTAATGAACATCCCCACCTCGTATCTATTAGTAGTCATTGAACATATACTAGTTTTATAGCAGATGGTTAACAGCTACTATATTTTAGGTGTAAGGAAAACTTGTGCTAACTAAATGAGCAGATGAGAGGTTCACTAATATTTTTACAGAAATCATAGTATTGTATCCAGCTCTAGCTTATGAAATGAACCACAAAATCTTAGAAATGCACTTCACTCTCCACTACCAAGATTTTATCTAAAATAAATTAGGACAGGTGGAAATGTATGTATTAGGTGCTGGGTGATAGGGAGAATGGTGTGCCTTGAGTGTTTTTACTAGAGAGACAAGATTGTGTTTTTATCCTCAATCATTATACTTTTTAATTTTACTCACAGGAATTAAAACAGTTCTTAAGCCGGGCTCGGTGGCTCAGCCTGTAATCCCGTGCCTTTGGGAGGCTGAGGTGAGTGGATTGCCTGAGCCCACGGATTCGAGACCTGCCTGGGCAGCGAGACCTCACCTCTACAATAAATCAAAAGTGTGGTAGCGCATGACTGTAATTCCGGTTACTTGGAAGGCTGAGGTGGAAGGATCGCCGGAGCCCAGCAAGTCGAGGCTGCGGTGGCCGGGAGCGGCCACTGCACTCTAGTCTGGGCGACAGAGTGAGACTCCAACTCAAATAAATAAATAAATAAATAAATAAATAAATAAATAAATAAATAAAATAAAACAGTTCTTATGATGAAGTAAAGTCTACAAAATAAAACACTGATATCCCACTTACAGATCTTACTGTCTGGAGTGTTCGACAAGGGAAAATTACTTGGGCTCTCATAATCTTCATGAGTTTATCTTGATATAAGAATTCTGATGGTCATCTCCAGGATCTTTAATAGACAGGTTGTATTAAGCTACAGCTTACTTATCTGAATTTCCCAAATCTTTTTGCTTTATTCTTTGAGGACAAAATAAATGTCTTCTTTAACTTTCACATATACCCTGAATTCTCTAAAAAATAACCTAGTAACCAACATGAATGGAATGTCTTTTTTCCTAGATACCCCAAAGCATAATAAAAGGTCTACTCGTCTAATAGACCCAATTCAGTGCAATCAATTCCACGGGAAAAAAGTAGGAATCCTCACTTCCTTTCATTGCTTTAGAATGCTAAAAACCAATCACAAGTATTGAATTTTTTTTCTCTAGAATATTTATTATGTATTTTTTCTTTAAACACACATTCAACAGAAAAATTTGCTTATTATTTCAAAAGACTTAAATAAAAGAAACATGAAGTGGAATCCAACATTTTTCCATTAAACATTTAAGAATACATTAATAAATTAATAAATTTTAAAAGATGATTTTAGAATATACCCATGTTTATAAATGAATAAGACATCTCACGGTATTAGGAGTTATACTATTATATGTTTTTTATCCTTTTAGCAAAGTAAAAGTACAGCAATTAGTGTATATTCAGTTAAAAGGTAAAGATAAAATTTCTTTTCTTCCCCATTGCACTATATATTATCTATCTATAGATATATAGATAGATACATATATATGCACACACTCATACACTATATATAGTATACGGCTAGTATACAGTACAAACTGTGGTATACAGTATGCTTGTAAATAGTATATAATAGACCGCATGTTTATATACACTATAAAATATATGTAGTATACAGTATAAACTATGATATATAGTATATTACTACATAGTTCTCACTTCCTAGCAATATTTTGGGTGTTATAATTTATATATTGGAAGAAAGGGGATTATATTTCATGAATTCTTCCCCCAAGTCAGGAATTTTGTAGTTATCTTTTAACATTCATCACGTACCTCCAAGCCCTATATTCTCATCCATCTACTATATAGATGAGTAAAGTAAGGCCAGTACTTTACGGACTAGAAAACTTGCTCAAGAATTCAAAACTGTAATACGATACAACTACAGAAAGTTGAATACAGGGAAACGATTTTTTTTTTTTTTTTGCTAACACCCACCACAGACTCTCAAATGGAGAGAGAAAGCTCTTCCTTTAGTATGTTTGGCACCTCTGAATCCAGTATATTTTTTGAACCCTGTACAATGTTTGATGATGACTGTAGAGCCAAGATCTTCAAGGGGAACTTTTTGGTTCCTCAGCCTTCTGCCGTGCAAGCAACCATGCAATAGTTGGAGGCAACTTCACAAAAGTCTTGCCAGGAAGCAGTAACCTGAAAGGCAGATATTAGCACATACCTGAAGTGATTGACCAGGATGTTGCAACTCCTAGCTTGTTTGGGTCTGCACATGAATCACATGTGAATGTTTAATGCTAACCATTAGGAGACATTTCAATTTTTTAAATAACAAATAAACATTAAGATGAAATTTTTTTTACTGATTTTACCAACTGTAAAAATATGGAAAAAAGTGAATTCGATGTTTTTCTTAGGTGAGATATTATCTTAAAAGAATTGGTTGTAAAGATGTTCAAAAGTTCTATGTTTTATGGATTATCTCTAAGCTTGTATAATTCTCTTTCTACCTGTGCCTACTTGTGCAAATAATAACAGGATAATTATTTGGGTCATAGTTTTCAGGCACCCTTAGCATCCATAAAATCCCTCAGCTTGTTGCCTGAGGTGTTATTTATCCTAAATACGTTAACTGCATGTCTATAAGTACCATTTTACCAAACCTACAGTTGATAAATTTTTTTTTTTTTTTTTTTTTGCTGCTGACTTTGTTTCCAAAAGATGCTCAAATGCATAGATATTCCCCTTTCATGTAAAGGGCAAACAAATGGTGCATATATCTGTTTATAAACATTTTGTAATTACAAAGTTCATTTTAATTTGATGTTTAACATACATTTTAGTTGATGAAACTTCAACATCTAAACTTGAAAAGCATTTCTTGAGCAAGAAAAAGAATGCTCATCTTTTGAACAATAGCTTCTTATGAATTTTTCAACATTGATGCTATTAATATTTGGGGCCACATACTTCTTTGCTTTGGGGTCTCTCCTGTACACTAGAAGATGTTTAGCAGCATCCTAAACCTCCACCCCTCATGGGACCACCCACTATTTGTGTCAACCAAAAATTTATCCAGACATTGCCAAATATCCCTTTGGGGAAAATCATCTCTTGAGAGATTTATAGTTCAAAGAGAGTCAAAAACTCGCCATACTGATTTTTTTTTAAAAGAGACATTTAGTATTCCTGTTTTCTTTCATTGCTGAAGATCATTTGATGCATTTACAAATAGTAGACAAGTTATTAAAATGTCATAATTCTGCCATCACAATTAATATTTGTAATATCAATAAAAGATATTTTTAAGGAAAAGACAAAATGGTAGACAAGTCTTGGATTAAAACAGAATGTATCTGTTGCTGCTTGGGTTTATTGTGCTCACTGATAAATACATACAATTAACAGATTGTAACTTTCTGATTTATTGGGTTAAGAGATGTCCATGTCAAAAGTGGAAGAGTGTAACCTTTCTTTTTCTTTTTCTTTTTCTTCTATCCCCAGTGATCCTAACCAACCAGTTCCACAGGATACCAAGTTCATTCACACAAAACCCAACCGCTTTGAGGAAGTGGCCTGGTCCAAGTATAACCCGAAAGACCAGCTGTATCTTCACATTGGTCTGAAACCCAGAGTGAGAGATCACTATCGAGCAACAAAAGTAGCTTTCTGGTTGGAACTCGTCCCTCATTTGCACAACTTGAATGAGATATTCCAGTATGTTTCAACAACCACAAAGGTTCCTCCTCCGGATATGACATCATTTCCCTACGGTACTCGGCGATCTCCTCCCAAGATATGGCCCACCACCAAACGTCCAGCAATCACTCCTGCCAACAATCCCAAACACTCTAAGGACCCTCACAAAACAGGGCCCGAGGACACAACTGTCCTCATTGAAACCAAACGAGATTATTCTACTGAATTAAGTGTCACCATTGCTGTAGGGGCATCCCTACTCTTCCTCAACATTTTGGCTTTTGCGGCTTTGTACTACAAAAAGGACAAGAGACGTCATGAAACACACAGGCGCCCCAGTCCTCAGAGAAATACCACAAATGATATTGCTCACATCCAGAATGAAGAAATTATGTCTCTGCAGATGAAGCAGCTAGAACATGATCATGAGTGTGAGTCACTGCAAGCTCATGACACGCTGAGGCTTACATGCCCACCGGACTACACCCTCACGCTCCGCCGGTCCCCAGATGATATACCGCTTATGACACCAAACACCATCACCATGATTCCAAACACACTGACGGGGATGCAGCCTTTGCACACATTCAACACCTTCAGTGGGGGACAAAACAGTACGAATTTACCCCACGGACATTCAACCACTAGAGTATAGCTTTGCAGTTCCCCTCCCCTTCCTCTGCCCTTTCCCCTCAGCAACATGGAAGAGATTAAAAAATAAAAATAAAAAATAAGAGACAGAGAGAGAGAGAGAGAGAGAAGGAAAATCTCCAAACCAGGAATGCTTTTCATCCCACTGACTTAAGACAAATATAAAAAAGGGCAGTCATCATTTCCCAGAAGGCCCTTTCTATTGGCATTTCCCAGTATTACAAGATCAACTTCTGACCCTGTGAAATGTGAAAAGTATACATTTCTTTTACAATACTGCTTTAAGATCGCCACCACTCCAACAAATGTTTAGTGTGACTAGGACATCACCATTTCAAAGACCTGGATGTTTCCAACAACATGGTAGCAGCTGACACTTCTGAAACTCAGCCAGGGACACTTAATTTTTTAAAATTACAATTGAAATTTAAAAAGTTCTTTATGTGCCATACAATGAATGGCTCTGCTTAAGTGAAGAAAGAGTCTATGGGCTTTTATCCAGCCTAAGGAGCTGTAATCCGGAGAGAAGGAAAAGTAGAATTTTATTATTAAAATAAAAGAATTGACTATGCAGTGAAATCCATGCAGTTCTGTGCGAAGAGGTGTTTTGCCAACCTGAACTATATTTAAGAAACTTTGTAAAAAATAAAAATGTATATAGCTGTGAGTTTAAACAAAAACACACACAGAAAAAAGAAAAAAGCTTTTATTGGTGTTTTCAGTTTGAAAAAGCTTTTAGCAAGATTGTGCTTTTCATTGTGCTCTGTATGTATATAAATATACTAATATATATATATACACATTAGTCATATCACCTCTGTTTCCTCCCCAACAAAAGAGGCTTTTCTTCTTAATTACTTGTGGTAAACAAAGACATGGGGTTTTCTGACACGATATTTTCATTTGTAGGAGGATGCTGTGTCATACAGAAGAACCAGACCGTCTGTGTGGCCTGCCTATTTCCCCTTTCGAGTTGCACAGGTGCATGCGACAGCATTCTTAGGAGACCATTGTTTTGGAAAACTTTTATTTTTTGTGCGTTAGCCTTCATGAAGTTGCAGCACAGAGATGGTTTCCCAAAGTAGAATATATTTAATGCTTGTTGAATTACAGACACGCACACACAAAGCAACAGCAGGGGAAAATAAATACAAGTCCCGTTCTGTAGTTCTGGCCCTTTGAATATGTTTAGGAGGAGTTGCTTCCCACCCCAGGGCCCTGCCAAAAAGGGAAGAAAGCTTGCCTTTGGTGGGGCTATCCCCTTTTGAGTAAATACGGCTCTGTGTTTCCCAGCAGCTGCGGGAGGGTTTCGCTGTTGAAGTACCTGCTCAGCTTAGCTAATCAGATTGAAGGAAGACATGTGTCTTTCCTTTCGGATTAAGCACTAAGTCCCTTATTTATCCGTAAGCAGGGTTTTCTTTTTAATCTTTTATATCATTTATGGGATAAAACACATACTTGAAAACATTACTTTTTGTAGATTTGTATATCAGTCACCAAACAATGAATATTAAAGAAGAAAGGGGGAATAAAAGGACAGAGCATTAAAAATGTTTTGCATGGATTTTCAGGAAAATTAAGATAGCTTCACTGTCAAGATACTAAATGGAAATTTTTTACCCATTTTAAATTGGTGACTTGGAGGTCAGGGGTTTGTCTTTCCAACGGCTGGCCATTTTTCTCATTTCCCCTTTTTAGGGATGTTGTGAGTGTTGTAAGGTGGAAGGAAACATTATAGTAATAGTAACCTTATATTTTGTCTTTTAAAAATTACTGCATCACCAAGAAACAGTAGCCAAAGATATTTGAAGATAATGTCCCTGGGCTTGATTGTGGTTATTCTAGAAATCTAGTCTTAAATGTCATTGATAAGGTGGGCATTCTCCATAAAGATAGTCCAGCTATCTGTGGCCCCTTAGCAATCACAACTTTTGATAACTGAATTCCTACACTAAAACTATAGTGACATATCAGTGTTTGAAAGTGACCTCTAGAAAAAAAGAGTTCTTAGAAATGCATAAAAATCACCCCTCAAAACTCATTGCTTATCTTGGTTTAAATTTGAGAGTGATTCTCTGTATATAAATATGTGAAATATTATGATCTCAGCTTAGCACACGTGAAGCAACACTTCTTTCCTACAGGGAGGTGTCATGGATAAGATTTCGTCCCCAACTCATCATTTCCTAAAGCTATTATCAGGCCATTTCTGCAAGCTATGTATTTCCCCGACTGGGCTACAGCAAATAGGCTTTCCATGAAACTACAAAGGAAGCGATGCTTGGCATCAGTGTGGGTTCTGTATGTTTGTAATGTGAATTACAGTATTTGTTTAGTATTTCCAATCGTCTTCTGCTAGCAATATGTACAGTAATGCGTCAGGCTTGTGACATTTGGATAAAGAAAAAAAAAGTTCCTGTTACGTGAATAACTTTAGCTTTTACAGAGGATTATGATAAAAAGCAATTTAATACACCTTAAATGATATCTTATTTCTACATGGAAAGAAGTTATAGGATCTTCATAGAGTTCTATGAGAAAAAAATATACTTGCTATCTATAAAAAAAGAGAAAAAAGAAAAAAATGAGAAAAAATAAGAAAAAAAATACTTTCCTAGGCTTTTATTCTTGATCTTCAAAGGCACGCAGGGTTTAATGGTTCCTTGGGTTATTATTTTGCAATTTTGTTTTTGATTTTGCCTTAAGTAATGATAGAAGATATATATGGCCGGACACATATGTATAAACTTTTCAGCAGCATTTTTAATAATAAAATATCACAGTATTTTCTAATGCTTTGTGCAAATAATTATGCGTCCATTCATTCTTTGTAGGTGACATATTTTATTTACTTTTTTCTTCTTAGAATGTGTTTTTCTTTGTAAAAGTCAACTGATGCAACTGACGTAGCCTATAAATGGATATACTCAATTGATAATGCATCGAATTCTTTAGCTTTGGCCAGCTGCACAGTTTTGGGGCCACTATTGAAGAGGCTCTGCTGGCCTGATTTTAAAAAATATTCCTATATGAGAAGAAGACCCTGCCTGAAAAGGAATGCTTGTATTTATTACTTCTACTATTTCCCATTCTTGCCTCACTGTGTTTTAAGTTGTATTTGACATACTAATACCTTAAAGTGTTTAAATTGAGAGTCTTAGTTGAGTAAATCTCCAAGTGACAGAAAGAAATTCTACTGAATGAAACGCAAGAGGCAGAGAATCACTATTATGTCAATGGGAGCTAATTTGTCAATTTCCTACTGTGCATCTGGCCTCCTCTGATTTTATTTGACTTTCACAATAGCCCTAAGGGGCGGGCACCGAATTACTCCTCTTCTAAAATGAAAGCTCCTAAGGAGGATAAATTAGATTAAAAACAAGATAGTGTATCCACAGGGCACAATCTTTCCACCAAGTAGGTATACGGTGAACATTTCTAAATCAAAGTCGTGCATGTCACGATAATCCTAGCTAACTTTCAGATAAAGAAAAACAGCAAGTGCTGGGATTCTGTCATATTTGAACTCCTAAATTATTCAGATGTTTGCCTCCAGTAATTTTGTGAGGGTACACAGGAAAAATACACATATACACATATAAACACACATATACGTGTGTGTGTATGTACAGTCGTGCACAGCATAATGATGTTTCAGCCAACGACAGACCTCACCTACAACAGTGGTCTCATAAGATTATAATACCATGTTTTCTATACCTTTTCTGTGTAGGTATGTTTGGACACACAAAAACTAACCATTGTGTTAACATTGCCTGCTTCACTCAGTAGAGTACCATACTGTACAGGTTTATAGCCTAGCAGCAGCAAACTATACCATATAGCCTAGGTGTGTAATAGGCTATACAATCTAGGTTTATGTAAGTGCACTCTGTGATGTTTTCACAACAAAATGACCTAATGACTCATTTTTCAGATCAGAACCTATCCCTGTCGTTATGTGATGCATGATTGTACATGTAATATACACTCAAGTGCACATGCATAGATGTACTTTTCATACACATATATATTCAGCTGTATATGTTCTTTACTTGAGATGACAATTCCATTAAAAATGAATCTATGTATATGCACACACATATATACTTATGTACACACATGCACATACATACACATGCTATATATGTGTTTATATATGTCTTTAAGTGTCTATATTACACATTAATCTCCCTTATCTGTGATTTTTCCCCCCTGCAGTTTCAGTTACCTGTGGTCAACCATGGTCTGAAAAATATGTGAGTACAGTACAATAAGATTTCCAGACAGAGACCACATTTACATAACTTTGAATCCAGTACATTATTATAATTATTCAATTTTATTATTTGTTGTTGTTAATATGCTACTGTGCTTGATGCATAAACTAAACTTTATCATAGATGTGTATATATAGAAAAAAACAGTAAATATAAGATTTGGTACTAGCCACGGTTTCAGTCATCCACTGAGGGTCTTGGAAGTTATCCTCGGTAGATAAGGGAGATTACTATATATGTACACACATATATACACATATATATACTTTTCACATACACATATATTCATAGATATACAGACACTTTAAATCCCTGAAAAAGGTATTTCCATTAAACACACACACACATATGTACTTTTATTAATACATTTAATGAAATGTTATCTTCAGAGCTTCAAAGTTGAATCTTTAGCAAATTTTAACTGAGTAATTACTGTTTTCACCATCTTATACATGATTGCCCATTGTGAATAACTCAAGGAGTAGTAAAAATATATGCATTGGTTCATTCATCATTCAGCAAACCTTTATAAGTATTTCCATCATACCAAGCCCCATGGCTAGGGGTAGTGTTAGAAATGAAGAAAATGGTCCTCCCATCAGAAAGCTCAAAGGGGTTGGTGGCTCACACCTGTAATTTCAGCACTTTGGAAGGCCGAGGCAAGAGGATTGCTTGGAGCAGTTTGGGCAAAATAGGGAGACCTGGTCTCAAAAAAAAAAAAAAAAAAGGTTGGGCACGGTGGTGCACACCTATGGTCTCAGCTACTTGGGATACTGAGGTGGAAGGATTGCCTGAGTCCAGGATTTTGAGCCTGCAGTGAACCGTGATGGTGCCACTGCATTCTAGCCTAGGTAATAGAGTGAGAACTCAACTCAATAAATAAATAGATAAATAAAACTCAAAGGGGAAGGCAGAGAATCACAGAGCCAAGGAAAGGTAGTGGATGCTGCTGGTGGTACTTGTGTGTTAATAGGAGGGAGACTGGGCACAAGCTTTTTAACATAGTCTGGAAAGAGCAATTCTTAAACTGGATTTTTCCAACTATGTGAAAAAAATGGTGGCAGGTGGTGTGTCGTAGGGGAGAATAGTATTCCACACCTTTAAAGTGAGAAGATAGAAGAAGTTTGAAAATCATGGCTTTTTTTTGTCCTGGGGGAAAAATATTAAGTATTATTTGGAAAGATGTGAAAAATGAGGTGAACAGCAACTTATAAAAGACCTCCAATTACAAGACTTGGAGTTTGGACTTCATTCTGATGTCAGTCAGGAGATGCCAAATGATTGCACACAAGAGGTGTGAGCATATATGGGTCATTTAGCAATAATCCTAAAACATTCATGTTAGGAATGTGTGGGGTATCTGGTTAAAGTGCAGATCCTGATTCAGTTGTGGTTAGTTGGATCTGCATCTCGGCATTTTCAGTAAGCTTTTAATGTGATGTAGATGTTGCTGCTTCTCAACTATTCCTGAGTCTTAAGTTTGCAGGAGTGGAGAGTCATCCACTCTTGAAGTAGAGGCGAGGAAGCTTTGCATAGTAGTGGGGCTGTGGGTGCAGTGATAGCATTAAGGAGGCAGGTCAAGTAATCTATTTTGGAAGAAATTGCTGCCATGTTTTCAGGGATGGTGGAGACAAGAGTAAGACATAGAATGAGAGACCCGGGCGGGGAGGCGGGGAAGTAAAGAAATACATCGCAGTGTTTTAAAGCTACATGTGCCAGAACTGACGAAGCACAGTGATCAAAGATTACTGGGAACTGCATTGGTAGTCAAGGTTGAGTTTGGGAACTTACTGCAGCAACAGTAGAGCACACAAAGACAGTGAGTTACCTAGGTGAGAGATTCAGGTGGGCTGGCCAAGGGTTTGGGTTTATACTGTGTGGTTTTAGAAGTGCTAAAATGAGCAAGAATTTGTTTCTGGACTGGTCACTATCAAGATAATTGGGATGTTGATAATTTTTAACCAGGAAGTCAGAGAAAGAGAGCATGACTAGAATTGTCTTCAGTAAGAAAGCAGTGGAAGAGAATGTCTTATCGCACAATGGCTGTGGACTGATGTTGATAGTCTTTGGATTATTTTTATATGTAGCCAGATGCACTTGACTTAGCCACTAATTAGCAGGCTAGTTCCAGCAGTCAGATATAAGAGCTGTTTTTTTTTTCTTTTTGTTTTTCAGAATTTTTAAAAAATGTACTCATACCTTACATTTTCTCGTCCCCTGGTTAAAAAAAAAAAAAATCTAGCTTACAATGAAGAAGTAAAAATGATACTTTCTCTGCACATTTTCATTCTTATATTTAAAGAAATGGATATGTAGGAAAAGGTCCACTGCAACCCTACCTTTCTATAAAGTGACCATTCGTGCAAATACTTCAAAAACCCACAACTAAACTAATCTTGTTTTCTCTAGAGGCAAGAGTTTTAGAGAAAATGAGAACAACTCCCTGCTACTCTACATTTGGCCAGAGGAGAAAAACCAGTTTGAAATTAACAGGTGGTATTTATTAAAAGAGGAGTCTTCAGACTAGTTCTTGAGGTCATTGGTTCCTAAAAGGATTGGACAGGGAGTCTTTGGAGACTAAGACAAATTCCCAACAGCTACAGCTGGAAGAAGCCCAGAAAGAAACATTCTTCTAAGTCCTTCTCCTGATCTCTGATCACAAGGCCTTGGACTTCAGTGTATTTGTTAATGCAGGAAGAAAGTGCAGAGATGCATTCTTTTGCACCCCAAAATATAACCCTTAATAAATCCTATAAAAGCTGAGAAATCAGATAGTGATTAACTTCAAATATGAAAAGCACTTTTAGGCTTTGGTAGTAAAATCTGTCAAATCAATTTTTTTGTGTGTGGGCTCATATATTAATCTCATTTTGATGCAGTATCTTTTTCTATTGGGATACATATTATTTAGGAACACAGCATTGAAACCAATATGCTTTGACTGTCTGTGTTATTGGGTTTCAAGTATTGTACCAAGTATTTCAAGAGCAATTATCTTTTCCAAAATATAATAATAGTAAACTATGTACACACACACTTTTAAAACAAATACTTAGAGATTTTAAAAAGCATTGAATCAACCATTTAAAGAGCAGTTACATGTTCCAAATTTTAAAACTTCCAAATAATCATTAAAATGTGTTGCTCTGTATAAGTTAGACACATTAAGTCATTTTACTCTTTTATCAGCCTCAAGGGGTAGGCAGTCTCACTTTACAGATGAGGAAACTGAGTTACGGAAGGTTAAATGACTTGCTCAGAGTTGCACAGACAGAACATAAAATAGCTAGTGCTTGAAACCAGATTATTTTGCTTTTGATAGCATGTGCTTATCAACTATTCTCTAATGCACCTGGTTATTACAGAAATATATGCCTCTATAGGCATTTTGGAAAACATAAAAAAAGCAAAACATCACCATACTCTCTCCATGCTTTAAGAACATTGATAGCTTTAAATCTTAAAATTCTTCCTGTACTCTTACAAACACCGGTACACACAAATAGAGTAGTT